AAGTTTCCTACATGTTTCATGTTCCACAGTCATAAAGGCAGAAACATCATCCTGGAGAACAAGTTTTTGTTTTTGTGAAATGGACAAAAAGAATTTTATTGTTTATGTAAGAGTGTGTGTACATATGCGGTGAATTCAGATTATTCGAACAGAGACACATTTTTCTTGGCCACATAATCTTAATGTTATAATATTTAATGACCTACAGATAGCAGCAGATCTTTGGTATTCTTTATGCTGATCCTTTGCAAGGCTGGTACTGGGCCTTTCAGCCTGTCAGTTAGGCCACATCATCAGCTACAGGATCGCTTTGCTCTGGTGAATTTCACGAATGAAAACAGAACACTGGGGGGGTGCTACCTTGGCTAGGCTTGCTCAAGGTTCATACTTAGTCAGCCCTGATGCTGACTTTGCAAATGCTCAACCAGTGATATGACAACTGACTGTCATGCCTGCTAGTGCCCTAAACCTATGCTACACCTTGCCACTGAGCTTTGTGCCCCAGTTTGCAGGACAGACCACTGATAATGTGGTGAGGCATGTGTAAAATAGACCCTGTGAAGTAGATACTCACTCTGTGATACACAACCAGCGAGTTGGATCACAGAGATATTACAGATCTGTGTAGCATAAAAAATATAGTACTGGAATGTAGAATGTGTGTGATACCTGCAGATGCCCTGGTTTAGTGACTCACCTAAACACTTAGCCAGCAATTCAGTAAAGTAGTCAGTGAGACAGGCAGGCAACCAGTCAAACCAGTGGGGTATTCACTCAATTATTAAATCCCTGTGAGCAGATCGCTTGGTCTTGATGCTGCACAGGTAGTTACCCAGTAAAATCTTCTGTTTGTCCTTCTGTAAAATTGCCTTGTAATTCCGACAGATTGACAACAAGTCAATTTAACAGTCACACACTAAGGCAGGCAGACAAAAATCATACCGTTCTCGCCCACTAACAATGGGCTGACTGATCTAGTACAAACACTGTCTCGAGGTCTGTCTACAGACAAAACAAGAAGCTGAGAAAACATTCATAGTTCCTATGCAGACATGGGGTTGTGGTTTCACATGCTCTCACACACATGCCACCTTTTTCCAGTCAAAACAGCAAGCAAGGCTGCTGTAGCAGTAACAGAAATCTAAGGTCAACATGTGACACATTTTCTAAAATTGCACTAAACTCAACAGGCCTCAGCTGCATTAGGGCCCCCTTCCTCTCAGTAGCTGATGATCTGGAGATTTTTCATCACTGGCTAGTTGTTTGTTTGTTTGACGATTGTTGTTTGATGAGTATGTTGATACTGATGTTATTTTTCTTATTTCTAATGGGTGGTTTGTATAAATTAATTGCCCTTTGGGATTAGTAAAGTATTCAGAATCTGAATTAGCACACAGTGATCTAACTCACGGATGAAAGGAACATGGACTCGTGTGTGCACACAAACACACAAATGTGGAAACACTTATGAGAGAAAATGGTGAGAGAACTTTCTCTGTCTGACCAAAACTACTTACACCGCTCTGGCTAATGGGCCATCTCTATTTAAAAACCAAAAAAGCCACCAAAAATGTTCCATTCACACATAAATGTAATAATCCATGTCTGACAGTCTATCAGTCAGTCAAGTCAGATCAGTCAAGGCTAAATTGTGTTTATCTGCAAACCTTTTTCTGAATAACTAACCATCCTTTGTTCATTGTCCCTAATAGGTCTTCACTCCACTGTATCAGCATACTTTCTCCCTCAGCTCATTATCTTGCAGCCTCCACTTTGACTTTGAGATGACACTAAAACTGAACTTACAGGCTTAAGGCTTTGTTGACTCATAACAGCAGTTTTAAGATTTTGTTTGTGCATATACCAACTCCGCCCCACTCCGAGTGCAATGAATGATCTTGCTTTACAATGTGCAAAGCATTCAGACTTCCCCGCACAGGCTTTGTTTTCATAATTGCAACATCAAGCTGGCACAATACAAACCCCCATGAACACACATACACACACACACACACACACACACACACACACACACACTCACAACTTTTTAATTAATGTGTAGCTTATCATTGAGAAAACCTTTTCCTTCTCAACTCTCTCTGTCTGCGTCTTTAAGATGCTGCTCAAGGGAGCTTTGCCAAAGGGAACTATACTGTATTTGTGTGTGTGTGTGTGTGTATGTCAAGGGAGGTTTACAAATGTATAGAGGTACCGCAGGACTTTCCATTCTTTACCTTTTCAATGCTGCAACAACACAATAGTCTCTCTCTCTTACGCTCACACATACATTGGGGAGGTAGCCTCTCTCATTGTAGCACATTGATGAACTACACTGTTGTCAGATACAACAGCTACCTCTGTGGTTTAATTAACTGGGGCGAAACAGAAGGGAGACAGGACAGAAACAAAGGAGGGAAAGGATGGTGGGCTGATAAGGAGGAAAAATATTTGGTTTTAATTCTAGAGGGTTTGTCTTTTATGCCTCTGGAGTGTTGTTGTTGCTGTTTTTGTAAACAACAGCTCAGTTATTTCAGCTACTGCATCCTTCTCATTGCATGGTGGAATAAATTAAATAATATATAATAAATAATTAAACTCTTCCAGATAAAATAAAAAGGTTCAGAAAAAAAAACTGCTCCAGCCCAGCACAACCTCAACACACAGCAAATGTGTGTGTAGGTGCATCAGAGATAGTGACACTGCTCCTCTTGTTCCATCACTGTTAGTCTAAAGCTGCTGACTAGTTGTCACAGTCTGTTTAGGCTGATGGAGAGGTCGAAACTGATAATGTGTTCTTGTGATACTGGACAAATGCTCAGCAGCAGCAACAGCACACTGAGACACAGGCACATGAACACACATACAGTAGGTGATGCACACATAAACACACACACACACACACACACACCCAAGAAGGCCACTGACTGTCTCTTGAGATTACCATTGGTGTGATCCACTCAGCTGGGCCTGATCACATTAAGATGGATGGACCCCCTGGTGGTGTTTCTGTGTGTGTGAGTGCGTGCATGCAGAGACCCATCTGTCTGTGTTTTCTCCACAGTTAGGTCCTGTGACCTGGCTGCCATCTTTAGTGTGTTCAGGTAGGATAAGCAATGCCCTCAAAGGGAGAGATGGATGGATAGATAGCTCTGTTCTCTGTTTGTCCATGGTGACATTAAAAAAAATGCTCTTTGTTTTTCGGTTGTGTTTCACAATGATTATGAAGATATTGTTTCAGAGGATACTAATGAATCTCTTACACGGGCAATAAATGCAATAACATATAGAGCCCAGCAACCTATAGGTTCCTCATGCACTCACCTCAGATTGTCCTCTTTTAATTACGTTTCTCAAATTTTTATATAGATTTTATATATTAGAAATATAACTTACCTTTTCTATTACTGCCTCGTCTGGGCTGTAGTAATTAATCTGCACTGTAGCCAGCAGTAGTGGGCTGTGTTAAAACCTAGCACCATCCTATGGTAGTGTGAATGTAGTAGAGCACAGTAGTCTCAAGTGACTTTTGCTCTGAGAAATACATTTTAAATGACATTTTTAAACAGTGTTTATATGTGGGCTTTGATAATATTTTCTTGGAACAATAATGCCTTAGCACATTTTCTGAAGTCAGTTTCTCTGAAATGTTTTGATCTGTAGTGTCTGACCTCAGGCTCCCTAGAGCTGATAAGACCAGTCAGTTATGAGGATACATTGATAGTTTCTCTACTACTTTGTGACCCTAGCAAACCCTGCCAATGCTACACATGATGTACTTTGTATACAACTGAGGAAAGAAAATGTTAAAACTTGGCAGTGATAACAATTGTATCTTCAGTCCAGCAGGAGCTCTGTGTTGTTGGCCCGTTTCAGCTTCAGGGGAATTTCTCCGTGAATCTGTCTTGCACAAACACAGGGTTTATGCTTCTCTTCAACAGTCTGATTTAGTCTCATACTAGCTCACTTAAATCACAGCATTTGATTGTTCTTAATGATTAGTAAGATGTTTTTGTGATTGCTCTGGAGTGTATAATTCCCACAGCAGACCAATTTTGACATGTTGATGTGTTTATTAAAGAGGAATTGTAGCTTTTGATCTTGATTCCATGTCAAAAACTTGCCGTGCTGTTTTCCTTATGAGTAGCTGGACTATGGGCTTCTGTTAGATGGATAGTTTAAAGTGAAAACACCACGTGGTGTGCTGTAATCTACTTACAGGAGCTTTTATTGGTTCACAGTACATCACTGTTAGTATAGACCTGTGGCCTCATTGGGTATTAAACTCTTAATGTAGTAATGTTGTTCAGTCTCAGCTGAGTTGTGCAGAAGACCAAACCCCCAAATATAAAGGTGCAAAGCTCAATTATTTTGGGTGCCCAATGTGAGGATAGATACATGGAAAAGCATGAAACGTGAAATTTGTTCAGTGAGAAAGTGGCTCAGTCTTAATTTTTTGTTCTGAATATTTTGATCCCCACAAATGTACATTTAATTAATTACAGTGTTTGACTTGTGTTTTTGTAGAATGTTAATATATTCAAACAGAGTATTGACAACATATAATAAAAAAACATTTAATGTCTGTGCTCAGTGTTACACAGTAACTTCCATCTGTAGTATTTTATCCTGAGCAAAAGAATACTGCTCACTTCCTTTCTTTTAACAGCAAAAACAAGCATCTGTTTGGCTCTTTCTGTCTGTATAGGTGTCTGAATGCGTGCACATACTGTAAGACCAAGCACGCCAGAGGTGACCTGGCCAGCTATCCTATTGAGGAGCTGGTGGAGAGGGCCAGGCAGTCTTTCCAGGGTAAGTACATTATCTTGCTCGCACTTGCACAGACAATCACAACATGGCAGTGAATTATGGTCTATATTGAATAATGATCTATATTGTCTTAATTACTTTTGCATTAGTTTGGTTCTTTGTGTTGTTGTCAGTGATATTTGCCAAGTTTTATATCCTTTGCAAGTCACAGTCTTTGTGTGTGTTCCTATTCTCTATGTGGCTCCAGTGTGTTGTATTGGTGTTGTACTGTATGTATATGGATACTGTTAAGGGAGGGAGGGATGTTTTTGTTCTCGGATAGACGGTCCAGCCAGTTGACTCTAGTTTAATGCCAGATGAGCAGCTGTTATGCCCTGGCATCTGTTTCTTAAGCGCATACTCTCTGAATCTCTAACTGCACAGCAGGCCACGCCACTGGTAGAGCCCCAGGCGGGACAGTCAAGGGCAAGACTGCACATTGATAACACAAATCTCACTTTCAGAGCATTTACTATACAATATATTACCTGATTTATGACTTCTGTGTAAATGTAGCCTGTTAGATACTTAAAAGTTATTTGCCCTGTGTTGAGTTTAAAATCTTTAACATATGTATGAGGAGACAGTGAAAATAATAAATGGATCCACGTCCTAGATTATAACCCCCCTAGCCTCTAAATTTGCAGTCTTTCTCAGTCTATACTCAAGAGTATAACAACCTCAGGTCAGTGGTCTCAAATTTCATTGCTCATGCACATAATTTAAATGTAATTTAACCTGGTCTGGAGTCAGATACTTTTTATTTTTTCCATATTAGTGTACAAAGACCTCATTCCTGTGAAATGTCAAAGAAATGAACATTCATAAAAACCCTTTACTGAATATCAGATTGTCTTGTCAGATTAGCTATGAATTCTTTTGTAATGTGAATGTGCTTATTCATAGAGCAACTAATTAGGTACCAAATTCTAACTTGACAAGGGGCTGTGTGGCTCTTTTGATAGAGCACCAGTAACAAACTGAAATATTAACCTGGAGATCTAGTGTTATGGCGTAAACAGATGTAAAGATGCGGCACAGTGACAATTTTACTGTTCACCCACGCTGCCAAAACAGTGGTGTCATTGACACAAAAAAGCAGCCTGGAATTTTGGAAGCAGTTCTGTTGTTGGTGTGAACACAGCTTCAATTTACATCTGGGTAACAAAAAACAAGAATATACCCTTGTCAAGGACATGGCTTTCTAAATCCCATCCCAAACTCTTTAACACAGCTGCAGCCATGCCACCGTGGTGCTCTGGACTGGGCAGTCAAGGGCAAACTTGCCAGCTGCTTGAACCATGGTGTGTGTATGTGTGTATGTGCATGTTCACGTGCAATGTCAGTGACATTGCAGGGTGAAGATGCACCTGCCCTTTACACTTGTTTGAGAGAAGTTTGAAGTACAGGGCAATAGTTTAGCAGTAGTTTAGGAAGGCTTGTTATGTGAGTCACATTATGTGTATTACTGTCTTTGTCATGCTGCCTTTTTAACAAACTGTCACAAATACTCATCCAAATAAAAGTTGGTTGCAACCTCAGTGACAGCCATAGCCAGTATTCATTAAATGTTTGAATGAAATAACAAGTAATTAAATTTGCTACCAGCAAACACAACATGTACTTTAACAAATTCAAGAAACCTTTTAACAGATTTGATATTGCTGAAGTGGTAGAACAGCAAGCATGAACTTCAGTTTGGAGGGTAGCAATGAAGAGTCTCTGTTTATGTGTGTGATTGTAATCAGTTAAAATGCAGGGAACAAGATTGTCATAGACGGTTAGTTGTTGTTTTCCAAACAGAAAAAGAGGAAGTTACTGCCTGTCATTATGGACTGACAGTTGGAGTAACACAGAGATGGATGACAAAACAGCCGAGACATTAATTTTCACTATCTATCCACTGTTTTCTGTGGTGGATGCAGTTAAAATCAAAGATTTCTTGTTTAACTTAGTGGCTTTACATAATTGTTCTTGCTGGTAAGTTTTAGCTCTGTTAGCTCCATTCATGTACGCAAACACTTTTTTCCACGCTCATTCATACTTTCAATAAACACACACACATACTCGTACATGCTTAGTGCTCAGTGGAAACTTAGTAAGGCACTATATTCCAACCTGACACTTTATTCCACACAGACTGACACATTCACTGGCAATTGTGATAAGCAGATTTTATCTCAGAAATAATTGGGAGCCTGTAACCTCTGGCAGAATCATCTACAGTACCAGATTTACTTTATCAAATGTTTTGTTAGGTTTGTAACAGCATTATGGCAGTGCTCCTTTTTCTCTCTCACTTTCACTCTATTAGCCACCTTTTTCTTATCTCTAACAAACGGAGCCTCACAAATAGGTCCTGCAATTTGATTTGCTATTTGATGTCTTCTGAATAAAAAAGGTCTAAAAGTTTGGATGCTAATTTTGATTTGGCAGTTGGTCTGTATTGGGGTATTTGATTGGTTTATTGCAGGGAACTTTGAAAGGGTTTATGGGATTTATTCAAATGCAATCTGAGGTAAATGGATGTCTTTCTATTTGGAAAAAAGAGTGAGTGTGTGAATGCAAAGCTTTTAAAATAATCAGAATTATTCAAATGTATGAATGTATAATTTTTAACATCAGAGAAGTTTGTTAATGTATGCAGGGGATGGAGGCTGTGAATGTCATAGGAAATGGCAAGTACGTAGGTGGATGCTGAAAAAACTTTGAAAAAAATCAACTGGACTTGGTGTTTTCATCACTTCTGCCTGAGATATTTATCCCCCCTCAGTGGTGTTTCAGTCCTTTGATGCCCAACAATGTCCCCTAACGACTGACTCGTTATAGCCCAGTATCGGTGAGCATCATTACCTGTCTTTGAACCCTCACCTGTAGACCTAAAATTACTGGGTCACAGTTGTGTCCCTCCATCAAACAGTCAAATTCATGGGATGGTATAGACATGACTGCTGACTCTGGTCCACTGGGGTTGGCCCTCCTGTGTTGGGCCATGCGTTTGTGAAGCGGCTGCTTAGTTTCACCAATATACAAGTCATTACACTCCTGACTACACCACATCAGTCTGTTTATGTCTGGGTGTTTTGTCCTTCGGGTGGACCAGTCTCTGCCACAGGGTGTTCCTTGGCTTAAAGTTAACTGGGATCTTGTGGTTGTGAAAGATCCTTTTTATCTTCTCTGATAAACCAGCCACATAAGGGATGACAGTGTTATCCCCTCTTGTTTCTGGTTTTTCCCTGTTGGTGTTGGGCCTCTTCCTTGCTTTGGTGAAGGCCCACTTAGGGTATCTACATGCCTTAAGGGAGTTCTGGATGTGTAGTTTCTTCTTCTTGGCCCCTTCTGCAGTTGTGGGCACTTCCTCTGCCCTTTTTGGATTGTGCGGTCCACTTGGGAGGGGACAAAAGCCTGAAGGTAGAAGTATATCGGAGACCTACACACACGGACCAATACCTGCTTTTTGACTCGCACCGTCCACTTCAACACAAACTGGGTGTCAGCAGAACTTTAAATCACAGGGCAGAGGAAGTGCCCTCAACTGCAGAAGTGACCAAGAAGGAGAAACTACACATCTAAGTTCTTTTCAGCTTACTCTGACCTGGATGACTGAGAATCTGCACGGACATCTTGTAGGTGGATGTGTGTGAGTGTACAGTATGGACGGGGCTTTGTATGCACAATTTCATGTGATTGAGTGTGGGTTGGTGTGTGTGTGGGCACAGGCATGTGTATTTTTAGGTTTGTGTGAAACTGCCAAAAGTAAAAGAATATTTAATCATATTCCTCTGGGTGAGTAATTCTAGAGATGGCAGTGTTGTCCATGAGGTGAGGAGAGTGTGCCAGCAGTCTGCCAACAAACCAGTGGCTCCAAACCTCCTCCTCTTTGCTTACCTCTAACCCATGTCTCCTGCCTTCATCCTTTTCTTTTACGTTCTCCTCCTCCATTTCATACTTCTTACTATCGTCTTGGAGTTCATCACTGTTGGCAATCAGGACCCAGGGGACTTTTGGACGTGTACATTTATTCTGAATTCCATGTCATAATGTGACATTTGCATTTGTAGCCACAGTAATTCCAAATTATGTTAATAAATTATCTGAACTTAGGAAAGACTTTGTAAAACAGAGTTTTTCACAAAACTTATATTTGGTCAAGTTGAATTCCTATCTTAAAAAAAAAAAATCATGTACAGCTGTTTTTCTGACCAGTATTGGATTTGTGTTTAATAATAATAATAGCAATCTGTTTTTACTAGGGATGTAACAATATTTCTAATTTAGCGATATCATGATAGAAAAATGTCTCTAATGAAATAGATTTTATTATTTATGTTTATATTAAGATTGGCTGTTTTCTTAGCTTCTTTCATTCAAAAGATTCATTAAAGAGGCTTTAACCTCTGGAACCTGCAGTTACCCTGTCCTGTAAACATGGTGGATGGCCTTGACAAATGTGACAGGAACAAGGGGCCAGTGAACCAGACTGGGGTGTCAGGGCTGTGCATTTTTGTTGTGTGGTCTTCAAACCCCCCACTGTGGCTGTCACCTTGTCATTTTAAACTGTCAGCGGGGTGTTTCTGAAATGGCCCTGTCTAAAACGGGACTCGACACTGCATACATACAGACACTCTGCTATTACTCCCACATGACAAACTACATTAGTGTGCGACATGCTTCTTAGCAATCACAACACAGCTTGAATTTTTTTTTTGGCTTTAGTGGCGGTTGGCATAATCACGAACGAACAACTGGAACCTTGTGTCAGCAGTATTGCTTTTTTCTAAACCTGACAGCTGGTGCTTTCCCCCTTATGTAAAGTTATTTTCTGCATTCTATTGTGTGGAAAACCAGTGAAATCACAATGTTATGTATCAATGCCAACATGAAACATTAGCTACATTTTTGCACATGAAATTAATATAATCAGATTTTTATGTTATCTTGTTAACTCGCACATCACAAGTCCCTTTTTATACCACATTTTGAAGAGAGATAAACCTAATAGC